TTGTGTTTGTGTCAGAAATGTATATATTTCGAGCGATTTCGGGACTATTCCGTCGCACAGGCACCGGCAGATTCGGAGCATCGCCTGCGTCCATCCCGGGTGCATGCCACATCGACATCCGGGTGCATGCCGCATGGACAGTACGGCAGACCGCAAACGGAGCCGTTGCTTAACATATGAAGTTCGGTGCTGTCTGTGATGTTTAGGTCTTGAAGCACCAGCGGCTACAGGAAAGCACCCCACTGCCGCATGGCTTTGTAATAATTAAACAGATAAGTAAGAGCGGCACGCTGCAACTCTTCGGAGGCCCCGTGCATTGGCCAAAGTAAATGTACAAACAAGGAGCTTGTGTATTTCATAGAGAAATGAAAGCAAATTATGTTGGCCTGCTGGTGGCAAGTCGGATTGCCCATGCCGGCAAATGGTAACACAAGCTGGGTGTTCGAGTTATCATACGCCGTCATCTCAGAATTCCATTGTGAGATACGCGGCAGCTTTTGGGATGAAATTTAGCGCGAGATGCGTTGATGTGGCTTTTGAGGTCGGTGAATGGAGGCAGCTAAACTTGTTTGTGCTCATACGGTCTTTGTTAGCTACATGCGAGATACCTTGCAATAGAGAATGCTGTATAGTACCGATAACGCGTTTCAGCCGGGTGAAATATTCTGTTTGGTCCGTTACACACTCAAGGCCTGGGAGTTCGAGTTATCATACGCCGTCATCTAAGAATTCAACTATGAGATACGCGGTACCTTTTGAGATGAAATTTAGCGCGAGAGGCGTTGATGTGACTTTGGCCTCGGTCAATTGAGGCAGCCAAACTTGTTTGTGCTCATACGATTTTTGTTGGCTACATGCGAGATACCTTGCAATAGAGAATGCTGTATAGTACCTATAACGCGTTTCAGCCGGGCGAGATATTATGTTTGGTCCGTCACACACACACACACACACACACACACACACACACACACACACACACACACACACGGACATGGGCAATCCTACAGGTCGGGGCCCCCCTGGGCGCTTCACGAAGCCCCAGGAAGACGACATCCAGAACACACGACATCCATCACAGAGGCGAAACACCACTTCTCGGCATCTGTGAGCAGCACCGTTACCGGGTCTCGATCGCCATTCTGGATCGCCAGCTCTATAGCTGTTGCCATGGGCTGCCATATGCCGTATCCAAAGAGTGTAAGCTTAACCGGCTCCACCAGCATCACTGCCTTGTAGCCACTCACCATGGCCGTCTCCAGATCGACATTCCATGGTGTCCTCATTTCCGGGGGTGCACGGAGGACAACAAGCTGCGGACGACCTGCAGGATCCCATCACATGCACAAAACGACACATGACAAGCTCGATCCGGACGCCAGGACGTTTAAACACGGCATATGCCAGCAGCCAGGGGACTTACTAGCCCCTGCCTGACATGGGTAACACCAGCACTCCTTCAACACCAGCAATTAATACTCCGTTCTCAAGAAAGTGGAGGCCGTGGAGGGTGGAGACAGCGAATTGCCCAACCACGAATGGCATGGCTGCACCATTTGCATACCTTAAGGCATCTCATCTCCAGGCATGGGTTAGCTTGCACCGAGCCGCTTATTGAGATGCAGATAGAATTATAATGAAGCATTGGTTTCATCGACCATAAAATGCTATGGTGATGGGATCACCACCTCGTAATGAAACACGGTTGGTGCGGCTCCCTCACACCGGGGCTGTCTCGTCACGGCTTTTGCATCTAATGCAATCCATGACTCGAATGGAGAAACCTCTATTTGCGGGGGCGTGAGCTGCGTATTACTTTGGGGGAAACTTCCATGGCCGATCGAAAGGCCTCCCAGCTTGTTATGCGTTTGAGTCCGATACGTGGGATCCTTTCGCTTTTCTGGGATGCGAGCCCGCGTCCGCTAGGCCTATTGCTCATGGAGTTTTTTTAACACAGCTGAAGCGTTACCCGACGCAAATAGTTTCAATTTTCTTGTTATCCCTAAAGAATATCATACAACTGAACCCAAACCTGATGTATTCATGCACAATCGGCCTGGCAGTGCCAGATATCGGCAAACGCTTCGGGAGCTTCGGATCATGCCGAAACTGCCGAAAACAGAAATACAGTTCCCGAAGCCGGCCGGCTTGCAGAAATAGGATCGTACGCCGTATTCGAATGTCAAACTATTGCAAAAAACGCGTTTTCATTCCGCGGCCTTGTAACTGAAATTGTACTGGAAGGCAGAAATAGACCCGTTTCCGAAACCAGAAACACCCTTTTTGCCGATGTCTGCCTGGCACGACCTTGGGCAGCATAACGGATAACTGTAACCTAACCGTGAAAATGCACGTTTGCCGAGACCAGGACACCGGGAGCAGGCCAACTGGACATCTCGCAAAGAAGCGATAAGATACTTCTCTATAATCTGATTCCTTGGCCATGAGATTGGAGCGGCGGATCTATGCTACATGCACACCAACAAAACGACTTGCGAACGACCGGGGATCGCCATCCTGCACAGCTCAGGGACCATTGTCCGAACGGACGTTGGTGGGCCATCGTGGGGAGCATCGCCTGGCGGGTGGCCTGATGGTCGGAGTAGTTTCACTTTCGCTTGCGGAAGAAAGTTGATCCGCCGGCTTCACCAGACGGGCCCCCCCGTGTCACTCTATCCGTTTTAATGTCGCCGCCGCCGGGCTCCTTACCGCCTCCGCCGGGCTCCACAGTGGTATATCGTCACCACTGTGTGTGTGTGTATGTCGGGGCAAGAACGGCCTTCAGTTTCAGTTTCCAGGACGCGTGTGCAGCACTCTGAACACACGGCAGGCAGGCTTCCGCATGCATATACACGCATAACTGTTACTTGCTAGTGTTTAATGTCACGGGACATGTTGCAGGTACGTGATCAGGTCTACCTCGCGGGACATGAGCCTAGCAGCCGTACACTGATGACGTATCGCTCACTGCTCGTGCTTCTGCCGCTGCCGCCTGCACTCAGGGTCAGCTGTGGACCGGGGACATAGATCGGGCGGATGGGGCTTGTGGCCGTACAAGTCCAACTGGTCGGTTGGTTGGGTTTATTGGGTTGGTGGTTGGTCTTCTTCTCCTCCCTTCCCACCGCCACACCAAGACCATTATTCTGACCTTCTCCAAGCTGCTGGTGCCCTCGAGGTTAATTTGATTGGGTTTCGCAATATTGCTTCGTAACCGTCACCTGATTTATTATAACAGGAATATTGGTCGTGGGTAGGCGGAAGGGGACCGAGGCGCCAGGTTCAACGGCTACCAGACGCGCACGGCGGCTTGCTCGACTGCTACCAGGTGCACATGGTGCATGCGCGGCTGAAGTCATGTACGACCGTCGCCACGTCATCAGATAGGTTATTTTGTAGTATTCTTCTACGACATGTTGAGATTTTTCCTAGCGGCTAGCGAGGTTGGAAACTCGGAGTGCCGGCATGGGGAGGTCTTCAGGAACATGTTCATTTATACATGTTAGTTCAGGCACTACTGATAACGCACACACCGATGGCCTCTGAGGTTTCGGGATTGAGACCTGTAGACGGTGGTGACCTGGGATAAGTTGACCTGCGAGCCGACCATGAATGGAGTTGGGCGCCGTTGGTCCGGCAGATTCCGTTGGATGCCGGTGGTGGGTGCGGAACCTAAGCGATCCACTAAGAAGTTGGCTAGGGTGACAAGATGGGGGTGCCCCGACATACTGGGAAAGGCAGGGTTTCGCCGGGTAGCGGCCATAGGGTGAAGATATGATCCCCCTGTCCCACATATCATACGTGCATTCACATCTAGGTATCCGGATCTAGGTATCCGAATCTAGGCATACAAGGCCGAATGCATGCACGACGCCTGCTTCACGGCGCACGACGACGGCTACGACGACGGCTACCGGGCGCACTTGGTCGCTGTCATTAGGAGTCCCTAGGCGCAGCGGCACAAGACCATACTTATCGTTAGGTGTCGCTGTCACCGCGGCTGGTGTGCTTCACACGATCCTTTGGGGGCATGAGACGGCAGCAAATTCATTGACCGCTTTTTTACCGCTTCTTTCTTTCGAACGTGCTACCCAAGTCGCCCACGACCGACCACCTTTCAGTCCGCTTGGCCATCAGCCCTGATGAACGGATAAGAGCCAAACCCGTCTCACACAGAGGAAGATAAAACCCAACAAAGAAAGAGAAACAAAGGACGTCATCGTGAGAACAACGGAGGCCCTTGTCATCCAGCCACCCGTACCGTGTGTATCTAGGCGGGAAATGTGTACACACTGCGCAAGCGACCTTTCATTTCCTTACAATGGCAACTACCCCACACTCACACACAAACACTCACACATACACTTAAAACCATACACATAAACGCACACACACGCGCGCGCATCAATGTGACAGACGCCCGGTGTACGTTATACACTAGTATATTTATGCTAACTATTATACCACAACACGATGATTACATCCGGCACTGGTGCACACCGCTGGCGCCATACAACCGCAAACCACACAGTTACACAGGATCCCTCCCTCCCTCCCACAAGATCCCTCCCTCCCGACAGGGGTCCTACCTGTCCTAGAGATGTAAACATCTGGTCGCACCCCAATTCCCCTACCGCACACATTCTCAAGCATTTGCATCTCTACTCGCCTCGCTCGAACCAACGAGGATCTCCTCAATCTTCCGGCTGGGAAGCACACAAGATGTACAGCACGCTCCACGTACGACATGTCGTACCATGCATACTCGGTACCCTCATCTCAAGAACAGCGAAATGTTCCGTCCAATTACTAATTTCATTGATAGTTAACAGGTACACTGCCGCGATCCTTTTCTCCGTACATATGTACGAACCATGAGCGGACACAGCTCTCGACCTCTGCTAGGGCACATCCGAACTTCCTGCTGAATACTCGGGCGATTGGTAAAAAGTTGGAATTGCCTTTTACGCTTCATATCCTCTTCGCCGCATTGGAAAAGTGTTCCCTCGTGACAATTACGATATGGCCCCAACGAGCTTTATACGTCCGTAAGATCATCGAGGATAAGGTCCTAAGAATTTAAGGGTCTTGGGACCGCCACCTCGAGCGATATAAGCGCGCACACAGCGAAAGCAACCAATCAGGAAAGATCTTCTATGCATGCAACGGTGCAACGAGAAAGCACAGTCGCATCCTAAAGCGGTTGTCGAGGTGACTGCTCGGATCGACAATGGATCGTTTCCATATGTGACGGAATGCCTTGAACGAGCAAAGAAGAAAAAAATACCAACGCGGGGGCCAGCGCCGCGACCGTCGCCACGACATGATGATGACGACGGCCGCCGCCGACGCTGGTGCAGGTGCATGTGCCAGCTATTAAAAGCTACCACAGTTTTCACCCTCCCACCTCCACATCCCCACTCCCCATCCGCCGCAGCAATAGCACGGCAAACATAATTCACACACAAATCTTAACTCTCCATTTTTTCTCTCAACAGGATACATTGCAACAGAAAGAATATTACTTTTCCGCCTGTCCCTGGTGTCGAGTACCGCAACGGTACAAACGATGCGGATTTTATTTCTCGTTGCGTGTTCTTGGCAGATCATCTTGCGTGGTGTATGATATATCGTTCGTTTACACCTTGCTGAAGAACTCCAGCGACTTGATGGGCAGAATGGGCGCATGGTAGGCGTCGATGTAGATCTGCTTCAAATCGGCAATGAGCGGGTAGCGCGGGTTCGCGCCCGTGCACTGATCATCGAAAGCGTCCTCCGCAAGCCTGCAACCAAACAAAAGTCCGGCGCACATAACATTTCAGACAATAAATAATATTACAATCGACAGTTTTTACGAAAAGACAAAATATGGGAGATGGCGGTCACAGGTTTGAAGGAAATCATACACCGTGAAGACGCCGTAAAGATGTGAAAGACGCGTAAAGAGGCCATAAAGACCGCCAATAATCGCGATTCAGTTTTTACTTACGCGTCCAAGCGCTTCAAGTACTCCTCCCCTTTAGCAGCGTCGTTGGTGAAGATCTCCTTGATGGACGGCGGGACATCGCACTGCTGCTTCAGATTCTCAACGGCCTCGATTAGCTTGATGACCTGGATTAAATACCATAGGGGAAAAATGAAGATTTACAACTCAAGATCAAGGTTAATCGTTCATGCATGGACGCGGCTGCGTTATTTTGCAACACTTTTATTGGAGATTTGTGGTAAGAAATGATCAGCGCTGGAGCTTGTGCAAGGTGTAGCAATCAGTTGGGCCAATCGGCAAAATAAACCGAGTTGTATTGTATGTGCCTCCACATGCTTTCAAGCATGCACACCAAAAACTAAAAATCGTCCATTCTCAGCAAAATTAAGCCGGCACGGCTCTTGAAATAATAATTACAATGTGCAAAGACGGATCAGCTGTTAGGTCCATGAACAAACCAAGGGTGGTTACAATTGGCCATCGAAATGATCCTGATTCTGCCGAACGGCCATACCTTCTCGTCGTCCGTCTCGCCACCTAGGTTAAGCATGGTCGCCAGCTCCGCGTAATGGTGCTTGGCGTTGGGGTACTGGTACTGCGGGAAGGCCGCCTGCTTGGCGGGCATGTCGGTGGCGTTGTAGCGAATCACGTGGCTGATGAGGGCCGCGTTGGCAAGACCGTGAGGCACGTGGAAGGCGGCGCCTGCAGCAGCAAGATAATGAGACAGCAGGGTTAGGCAGCGAATGACCGCGTGGACCGAAGCCGGCATTCAACATGGCTTCCTGTACTACGGGCCCTTCCCCCCCCAAGCAAAACACTTATGCACAACGACGGCACCGCTGGTTCTATGTCACGCAGACTATGACACGACACAACAAAGGAAAAGCAGAAGTGTAATCCTTAGCAGCTGAGGCTCACCCAGTTTGTGCGCCATGGAGTGGCAAATGCCCAGGAACGCGTTTGCGAAGGCCATGCCGGCGATGGTGGCCGCGTAGTGCACCTTCTCACGCGCCTCGTAGTCGTTCGCACCGTTGGCATAGGCCCGCGGCAGGTACTTGAACAGCAGCGAGATGGCCTCGCGGGACAGGCCGCGAGTGTACTCTGTATGTGTATGGGGCAAAGAACCCAAGGAATGGTGGTTGGCCAGCTGTAGGGCCATCATCCGAAACATGACGCATGCCAAACTCACACAACAATACCGAACACCAACGGCAGACGGAGACCCGGGGGCGGAGCACATGCTCTGCACATTCCTGAACACACACCGGCCGGTGACCATCATCACCATCAAAGACACCCACAACCCACAACCCTCACCGTCACCCACCTGTCGCGCAGATGGACACGTAGCTCTCCAAGGCGTGGGTGAGCGCGTCAACGCCGCCCCAGGCGGTGAGCTTCTTGGGGATGTTGAGAACCAGCTGAGGGTCCACGATCGCCATATTGGGCGTCAAAGCGTAATCTGGAAAGGGAGGGATCACGGCCGAGCAGAGCAGGCAGAAAGGAAAATTTGTATGTACGTATATGGTGTGGGACAGGGGGCCATACCTTCACCCTGTGGCCGCTACCCTGCGAAACCCTGCCTTCCCCGGTATTTCGGGGCACCCTCATCTAGTCACCCTAGCCGCCAACTTCTCAGTGTATCGCTTAGGTTCAGCACCCACCACCGGCATCCAACGGAATCTGCCGGATCAACGGCGGCTCAACTCCATTCCTGGTCAGCTCGCAGGTCAACTTTATCCCAGGTCACCACCGTCTATCGACTAGGGGGGCACGAATAGCTTCCACGATCGGAAGGATTGTCGACCCTGACAGGTGTCGATCGTATATGTATGCAACGGCCATAGGTGGGATGCATACGACCAGAGAAAGCCGTGTCAAGCAAATCTCGAGAGTGCTGAACTTCGATAGAGCTTAGCGGAAGAAGGTTTCCACGCCCATCCTGGAACGCGAAAACAGATTATAAAGATTAAAAAGAACAATTCATTATATAAATTCTTCTTCAAACTTTGGTCATTTCTTTCCATTATCACTTACAATAAATTCCCCCCTTTAAAAAAGCGCCCAAACCACCCAAAACCGGCCCTCCCACGGCCTCGCAGGTCTCTTCTCCTCACCGGCCAGAGGGTACTTGGCTCCCAGTCGCTCATCCGTGACCACGGAGAAGGGCGTCACCTCGGAGCCGGTGCCGCTGGTGGTGGGGATGCAGACCATGGTGGCCTTCTTGCCCAGCTCCGGAACCTCGTAAACGCGCTTGCGGATATCCATGAAGCGCATCGCCAGGCCGTCGAACCGGGTTTCCGGGCACTCGTACATCAACCACATGATCTGTGTGCATATCCCGTGGCGGCAAGGAAGCGGAGGCGGGGTCGGGATGAGAGGACGAGAGGGCAGCCGGCCGATGCAAACCAGTTCAATTTTAAAGAAATGAAGATAAGCAGTTGCCCTGACTTGAAAATGCGAGGGGGGGAAGCATGAGCGGTTACCATGACAGTTGTTGTGCCTATTTGTGCTTATTGACGAGCTACAAACAAAATTCCAAAAATCCTACTCCTGCACCAAAAAGTTTCGCAACAATCCGCTTTATACTAGACACGATGCGGTTCCTATCGGAGGAGGAAAAGCTGCTCTAGAATCACAATCCACGCACAGCCTTAGCACTATCCAGTCTCTCAAAACTTTTGCTTTTCTCCAGGGTAGAGGAAAAAAGCGCAAGGAGCTGCATGGCCTCTCCGTCCCAAAAACAAAGAGGGGAAGGGCGCGAAGAAATGTAGAGGGATATAACCCTAGCTAGCTAGCAACAGCCGCAATCTATTTGATGTCGTGCTTGCGCTTGCGCTTCCGCTCGGAACAGCAACGCATGAAGCAATATTTGAAGCAGTAAACCGTTACCACAACACAAATAAAAGAAAAGCTTGAAAGTCCGCCTACCTTCGCCGCGTCCATGGGCGAGCCACCGCCCATGGCGATAATCACGTCGGGCTTGAACTCCAGAATCTCGCTCAAGCCGGCGTTGATGCAGGCCAGGGTCGGGTCTGGAGTTACGTGGTAGAAGACCTGGTGGTGGATGTTGAGCTGGTCCAAAGTGGTGGTGACCTTGTCTGCGTAGCCCAGGTCAAACAGCGGCTTGTCCGTGACGATGAAAGCGCGCTGCTTGCCCACCAAGTCGCGAAGCGCCACCTCCAGGCAGCCTCCCTTGAAGTAAATCTGTGCGCCGCGGTGTGCGACACAATAAATATTAAGAAAAATGCGGCAAAAGCACGTATTGTTATGTTGTTGGAAGAACAGCGAGAATTTATGGATGGATGGATGGAATGAAGGATGATGATAAACGATGATGATGACGATGGCGCCAACGAAAACCATGCCGCCAACTTGTGTTGTCATCATCACAGCGGGGCAATGAACGCTCAAGCGAAATGGATCTTAGGACAGGACGGACAGGGAACACCAATTTAAAGGCCAGGACGACCTTCCACGCCCAGCAGACACCACCGCGACGACTACAGATTGTACATGCAAGCCCATGCAAATTAGAAGTCTCCGGCATAAGTCCTGTCGGTGTCAACTCCGCCCAGCTGACGCCACCGCGTCTACAAATTGCAAGCCCTACCTTGGGCGGCACTCGGAACCAGAGCATGTTCTCGCGGCGCGAAGTGACGGTCTTGATGTTGATCAGGTGCTGCGGCCCCACGTTGTTGGAGACCGAGGTGGAGCCCCAGGTGCCGCAACCCAGGGTCAGCGAGGGATCCAGGTGGAAGTTGTACAGGTCGCCGATGGCGCCCTGAGACGCCGGCGTGTTGATCAGGATACGAACGGTCTTGACCGTGGACTCGAACAGCTCGATGTGAGCCTTATTCAGCGGGTTGGTGTATAGCACGCTGGTGTGACCGGCGCCGCCGTACATGATCAGGCTGTGCGAAAGCTGAACGGCCTGCTCGAAGGATGGCGCCTTGTACATGGCAAGGATGGGGCACAGCTTCTCCTGCGCGCAGCACGGCACGAGAGGAAAACAAAGGGCGCGTTATTTGATAAATTCAAACTTAGCGCGGCGGTTGACGACAGCTCCAGCAATTGCCCAGTTTAAAATTATGGATAGCTGACAACTAGGTAACTAAAATCCACGAGTTAATTAAAAAGAGGCCGATATTCACAACAAGTTTGACAAAAATAAAACCAACAGGAATGCACAAAAATTCCCCTCCGCCGGCGGGTGCGCGTACCTGCGACAGCGGCTCGGTATCGCCCCAAACCTCCACCTCGCCGATCAGCACGCGGGTGCCCTCCGGCACCTTGATGCCGAACAGCTCAGCAAGCTTGGGAATGGACTGACCCACAATGTTGGGATTGAGCTTGCCGTCAATCAAAACGCCAGCACGGACCTACGAAAGACCAATACATACATACATGTATACATACACATATATACAGACGTACACATGCAGGATACAGGGGACAGCCTTATTTGTTTACAGCAAGCAAACGAGACTCGCAACGCAGAATAGCGAAGAGATTTTTCTGGAATCGTTTTCTTTTCCTACCTAAGACCACAAATTAAAATTGTTTCCCGGACAACAATGACAGGAATTATAAAATTTTAGGAAAACATCCGTACCTTGGCCTTCTCCTCCTCGTTGAGGAAGTAGGCGCCGCGCCGGATGAACTCCGCTCGTACCTCGTCGTACACCTTGCCCACCACCACCACTGACTGCTCCGAAGCGCAAATGACACCGTTGTCGAATGTCTTGGACAGCATGATGGAGCTGACGGCCATCTTGACGTCGGCCGTCTCGTCGATCAGCGCGGGTGTGTTGCCCGCGCCCACACCCAGCGAGGGGTGTCCGGAGGAGTAGGCGGCCCGCACCATGGCCGGTCCGCCAGTGGCGAGAATGAGGCTGATCTCCGGAGCCTGCATCAGCGCCTGCGACACCGGCAGCGAGGGGCTCTCCACCCAGCTGATGATGTCCGAAGGGGCACCTGGGGGATTAGGAGAGAAGGGGGGAGGAAAGCGGGTTAGGAGGGGGTGAAGCTGATGCCAGGAAAGACTGGGCAGGGTGGGAGGAGAGGGGGTTATGGGGGAAAGGAAAAATGATTGAAGCATGAATGTAGAAGGGGGGAAGAGGGGGGGAAAGGACATGAAGGTTAAACGAAGGGGAAGTCGTACTAATTGTAGGTTACATTAGCAGTAACATATCGCTATACACATTGTGGTGATTAAATGATTTTTAATCGTTGTTTTACGATATGCGATGTTACCTGCAGCAATAGAAATATCCGGGCGGGCAATTCAAGGGCCGCTGCCGCGTGCTGTTTAGAACGCGACGGGAAGTCGCGCAAGCGGCGGCTGGAGGCTTTGGGGGCAAAGGCAGTAAAAGACAAAGACATAAATCACCCAGGCAGCCACCCGGCCAGCCACCCGGCACGCACGCACCGGCTGCAATGGCGGCATCGCGCACAATCCTGGCGGCGGCGATGGTCGACTTGGCAGCGCGCGGGTGCGGGCACAGCACGAGCGCGTTGCGTGTCTTGAGCGACAACAACGCCTTGAAGATGGCGGTCGAGGTGGGGTTGGTGGTTGGCACGATACCTGCAGCAGCAAGAGGAGGAGGTGGCAGCAAGAAGTGAAATGCGGCAGCTTCTTGTGTGATATTGCTGTATGTTGCTCGGATGCATCCAAGGTCATCGAACAAGGTGAAGACCTGGTATTGGAACTTTTATATTTCGTAACCTAGGCAAGCATGCTTCCTAACTTTACACTCCACTTCACTCCACTTTTTATAAAACCAATTTTTTTTAATAAATTCAAATTTAAATGGACAAAAATATATGTCTAAAGATGATGCTTTTCCATTGCTGCATTGCAAGAGTTGAGAGACGCTCATGTGTGTGCGAGTTCCGCTGATCCACTATCTCACCGGCGATGACGCCGACGGGCTCAGCCACCTTCTGAATGCCACCAGCGGGGTCTTCCTCAATGATGCCGCACGTCTTCGTGCTCTTGTACTTGTTGTAAATAAACTCCGACGCGAAGTGGTTCTTCACAACCTGTTAACAAGATATGATAATATAGATAGATAGATATTAGCTCTTCATGTTCACGAAGACGACAAAGCAAAGCATGTCAAGTATATCAAGGTAACGAAGTTTTCACCCTAAATTTGACCCAAGCAAGCAAGTAATCGCGCGTACGTTAAGTCCTAGTAGGCGCGTACGTTAAGTCCTAGTTGTCCTATAAACTCAAACCCCCCAACCCCCCAACCCGCCTACCTTGTCCTCCACAACGCCCATCCGCGTCTCCTCCACGGCCATCTTGGCCAAGGGGATGCGCGCGGCGTTGGCAGCCTCCGCGGCCCGCCGGAAGATGTCATCCACCTGCATGTATGATGTGTGGGACAGGGGGGTATATCTTCACCCTGCGGCCCCTACCTGGCGAAAGCCTGCCTTCCCCGGTATTTCGGGGCACCCTCATCCAGTCACCCTAGTCAACTTCTCAGTGGATCGCTCAGGTTCCGCACCCACCACCAGCATCCAACGGAATCTGCTGGATCGACGGCGGCTCAACTGCATACCTGGTCAGCTTGCAAGTCAACTTCATCCCAGGTTATCCAACATCTATGGGCACATTACCTTCCACCAACGGAAGGATTTTCGACCCTGACAGGTCTCAATCCCGGGATCTCCCGGGGGCAATGGTGCGTGCTCTACCAATAGTGCCTGACCTGCTATATAAGTCTATGAATGTATATATGTGCGCGTATTTTTTCGTGTGTAAATGCTTTCGTGTGTGTTAAGGCAGGTTTGGGTGGAACCCCGTCATCGAGGGTTCGGGGAGGTTTCCTAAATCCTAAACCTCAAAATATTTGACTCGTCAAGGAATACGCAAACTGTACACAAACGTTGCAGTATGGCTGATACCCGAATGAAATTCTTCTGACCCACTTCATGATTTGTGCTGATGATGGTAAGCAAGTCGCAAGAACAGAAACATTCGTTCCAAGCATGGGCAGCACGGGCAGCATGGGCAGCATGGGCAGCATGGGCAGCATGGGCTGCTATTGCTAGGACCACGTATATTATAATTACCTGTTCCTGGGTAAATATGGAGTACTTGCGCTGTGCCTCTGACGCGCGCTTCAACTGAGACTTGAGCGCAGCAAGTTGCTCATCAGCGACCGGCGCGCGCTCCTTCTTCACGGCCGCATCGTGCGCGACGGGTGTTGCAGGCGGCTGCCGTGTGAAGACGAAACCGACAGCACGCAAACATGACCCAAGCAGTGGAAGCACGATTATAAGACGATTATAAGTAATTGGAATAGGTGCTTAAATAGTAACTTCAATGTCCTTCCTATCGGGTGCAAAGATTGAGAAACGAACTTATGAAGCATGGCAGCTGCATCCCAGAAACGGAGCGGCAGGCTGTAAATTAGGACTGACCTGAACAGCGGCAGCACCAGACTTTGGCGCAACCGGCGCGGGTGACGCCGTTGCCTCGCATAGAATGCGAGCAGTCCTACGGCTGACATGGGGCGGTAGAGGCACCGCCGAACCAAGCTTGGAAGAGGAAGCAATTCCCTTCTTGCACGGGTTAAATCTTGTGGACATCATTCTGGCAACCTGTAAGGCCGGCGCAGGAACGAACACATTGCACAAATCATCGCCAGGACTGCCGATATGGTACCGATACGGGATTAAGCGTCGGAAGGCCATGGCCCCCACGGCCCGCCAAGGACCTGAGCGCTTTAGTATATTGTATTATTTTTGTAATGCTCTGCAACCTGAGATTGAATTCGCTAGACCTCACAAATAGGGCTCTTGGCGGTCTGCGATTAGTTACATCAGCCTTCAAAGCTGAACAGCAAAACACCCCATAAGCATACCTTCGGCCTTTTCACGTAGCTAACGATTCCTCCGTGGGAGAATTCAGGTATCGCAGGAGACACGACGGAGACCGGAAGGAATAGAAGGCTAGGGTCACCTTCCGAGACAGTTGTTAATAGGCCAAAATACGTACCACGTGTGAGACGACGTCTTGAACATACGGGTTATGACTTATTGCAGCCTCATTGGCCAATTAAGTATTCTCCCGGGATAGCTGTCGTACCACTGCCGGCCGGGAAACTTTAGGGCATTGCGATGATACCGATGCATGCAGCTGTATAACAGCGCATCGGGAGAATTTTGATTACCACAGGTGATTCAGGGAATGTATTTTGCGCGTAAGAGACCTGCGATATCGTTATGCATTATGAATCTTCGTACCGGTTAAGGGGTCGAGAGGTGCCATTGGAACACCCATAATTCTATAGGAGCGTGTCAGATTACAAGAAAAAGGTGGTAGCCGATAACTGGGAAGCATACCCGGTGAAATGCACTCCCGTGCAGATTCCGTCTTGCGGATAACGAACGAAACGGCTTCTCAGGGTTTGCCGCAAGGTGGCTTTTCCTTATTACGTATGGGATCTATAAAAATGTCTTATCCTATAACATCGAAGTACGCGCTGGAAACTGGAGTCACTCCTTTCAATTAAAGCGTGTGAGCATGTGTCGTAGGGCTTGGGAGAAGGCGTTTTCATTCCAAAAGCTCCATAGGAACCAGTTACGTGAAGTTGATCTGAAGTGAAGCGCGTGCACTTCCGGTCTTTAAAACGATCTTGGTGTCGGTAAGTACTGCGAGCGTCGGTTGACTTGCAAGGCTGCTATTACACAGTCAAGAAAGCTGACGTCTAGATCAATTATGTATAACAACAATGACCAGCGTGAAGTGAAGGCCACCTCTCATTATGGAGTTTTTCGGCGCTTCTCACGGTTACTGTAACTAGAGGGGAAAGTCAGCTCCCCAGCTCTACAATTGCATTGCATTACACAATTTCAAGTTTGGATCTTTAGGTTAGCCTCCGGAAACTGTGAAATGGCGTTTGGCCTTTGCCATGTTCTCAGCCTAATCACACTGCGCTTTTAAGCAACACGATCCGGATATTCACATTGAAAGCTGAGAGCGGTAGCAGGGAACATAGCGACAGGTTAATTAATAAAAAAACTAGGCCATCCGCAGCAGCGTCAATGCCACCTCCGATCTCCGACAGCTAGCCGATGCTGTCGGCAGCAGTCCCGGCAGCACAAAACAACAACTTTCTCAAAGTTAAATAAGGAAAGGCCTCTAAAGGCGCTGGCCTCAAGGCCTATAGCAATTCGTGTTAATCGGTGGCAGCATAAGATCCATGCCGCTGCGGTCAGGCGGCTGCCTGGCATTAGTCCGTCGTCAGGCGTCACCTGACACAACAGCTCACAAGAGCTCACAAGCTACGGCAGCTTGTACTAGCGGCTGTGCCAGGACTTGACCAGACCCTTATCGTCCTGCAGAAGGAGTGTAGCAGTGCTCTCTGCTCTCTGCTAGCGGCTGAGATAAAATCGATCGGTGCATATCGTATCGTATAGGTTACAAGTTGTACCTACCGTTAACCAGCAACAGTTCCGTCAGGGGATCAATGACGATAGGATCAATGACGATCAAATCGATCGTCGGTCTTTCCGTCCGTACCGCTAAGCCCCGAAACTGATGGAAATGCAAACCAGGCAGCATGCATGAGTAGAGCTCTTTTAGCCTTAACATGATTAAACACATTTCCATGTGTAAAAACAGCCCGTAAATCCATAAAGCAAGCCTAACACAGTTTACCACAGTCGATGACAGTACTTTGGCACTAGGGCTGCCTTGACATTCACGAGCAGCTGCTTAGTTGACGCAAGTTACTCAATCCGCGCGCAGACTGCTCAGTTGACGCAGGAACATCACCGTTGCAACATCACGGCCCCCGGCCCTATTGCCATCACCACAACCATCACCATCACCCCGCCCCGCCGCTGCTCATTGGCCCTTTCCTCCACAGCCTGAGTATGCGGATGTCCGGGCAGCTCCAGTAGGGGTGCAGCTCCAGCTCCGAAACCTGTGCCACGGGGCCTAGATGTGATCAGATAAGGTCAGGTTCGGTTATGGTAATGGGCACTGCTAAAGGGGGTAGGGGATGTGACTGCGATTGCGACCGCAGCATTCAACGCAGCAGTTTCCGCTTCGTGTGGGTGGGAGAGGTGTACGGAGATGTACGGTTTTCAGGTGTACGGACGGGTGTCCCACTCACGTCGCCCCAGGGACCCCGGCGTGGACCACGTCTTTTCGGATTTGCGGGAAATACACACACAGAGAGGAGAGCAGCGAAGTAATCACCATCACAAACAATAGTAGACACCAAGGCCGCGATTATTACAACGACCATCACAGCCTGCCATGCAAACAGAAACACACGCTGCGCATCGAGTCACGAATAACGATGTACAGACAGAGAGACAGAAAGAGACAGACAGACAGACAGACAGACAGACAGACAGACAGAAAGAGACAGACGCCCGCCCCGGGGCCGGCCCCCCCACCTCACCTCCTCAGCCACCAACCCGAATTGGGCACACAGCTTCGAAAGCTCATCCGCACCCGCGCGCAGCTCATAGCTCAGAAACACCACCGGAGTGCCACCGTCGCCACATCCGCCGCCTCCGCATCCACCTCTGTCATGGCCCTCCCCGCCGCCGCCGCCGCCGTTGCCGCCACTTCCACCGCTGTCGCAGTCGCTGGTTCCGACAGCAGCTCCGGAACCGCCGCCGCTGAGGCAGCAGTTGTCGTACTGCCCCCGGTGACCGGCCGCGGAGGCGCCTTCACCGTCAGGTCCCGTACTGCTGCTACAGCCGCTACCAGTACTAGTACCGCTACTGCTGTTGCTGTCGCTACAGGTGCTAACCGGCGGCGCCAGAAGCTGCGCCAGTGTACGGAACAGGCTGTGTCGGCCAGCTGCGTCGTACACTACATCTGCAGCCAGAATTACCTGGGGCGACCATGGGACAGGAGGCGGCGGCGGCGGCGACGACGACGTCTCTGTAGAGGCGCTCGCCGCCGCCGCCACCGCCACCTCCACTTTCAAATGTTGGGTGCTAGTTCCCCACTCAAAGGCCAGCGCAATGCAGGTAGCATCAAGACCGTTGAGCTATTGCGCCGCGGGAAGGGGGGATAGGGGCCGGGGGGAGCTGAGGGGGGAAACAGGGGTGCTATCTATTTGATGTGCGCCGCTGCAGGCCCTCAAGGGCTGGTACATGAGGCTGCTTCATGGGGGAATGGAGGGGTGTTGGGTGGGATGACCGAAAAGGGGGGGAAAGACGAACCACACACGATTGAAGCTGCGAAAAGGGGGGAGGAGCGGAGAGTGGGCCGCGCTGCTGTGGAGGCACGTGTGTGTGCCTGTGTGTGCCTGTGTGTGCCTGTGTGTGCCTGTGTGTGCAGATTATGTGTGTGTGTGACGACGTGTGCGCGCGCGCGTGTACGTGCCTTACAGACATACATACGTGTGTATGTTGGGTCGGTCAGCAGCCACGTGTTGCCACCACATGCACTTTTCACTCTAACGATGAAAGAGAAAACGGCTTATGGAAATTGGTTAACAATGCAATGCCGTCGGGGGCCCGGATCTCATTTTTAGTTTTAAATTTTAAATAGGGTGTCGTCTTGCCTGGACGTTTTGTCGTATGTACGGCACCAGATGGGGCAGGTCAGTGAGTACTACCAGAGCGGCGCCCAGGCGGGCGGCCGTAAGGCCCACCACACCCGTTCCGCTGCCCAGCTCTAGGCAGGTACGGCCCGCGACTAGGAGGCGGCCTGCACCGCGGGACAGACAGACAGACAGACAGATGGATGAATGGATGGAAAGGTAGCGGAGTCGCTATGGCAGGTAGGTGGGTAGGTAGGTAGGTAGGTAGGTAGGGCGGTGTAGGAAACCGACAACCGGCAACCGACTCGCACTTTTACATGACAGGTCAGAACACCTAAGAGGTGCTGTGCAGCAGTAGAACTAGAAGCAGCTACAGTACTTACTAAAATACTAGTACTAGCAGCAGCAGCAGCAGCCGTAATAGTAGTAGTAGCAGCAGCAGTAGTACTAGCAGCAGCAGGGGCCGGTAAGAGGAGCTTAAGTTTGTGCGTTGTGGAGGGAGGGCGGTGCGTTCCAGGGTAGAGAGAGAAGGGGGGAAGCGAGAGAGAGAGCGGGGGAAAAAGAGAGATGGGGGGGAGAGAGAGAGATGGGGGGGAAGAGAGAGAGAGCGCGGGGCGGAGAGAGAGACGGCCTCTCGTCCGTGCCACATTGGGTTGTGGTGGTGGACCTGTTGAATGAAGGCCGCTTTCGTAAGCCCGCTTGTGCAGTGCAAATAATAATGCAGATGCATCATATATCTATGTGAAAAATGCTCATGTGAGTGATGTTTCCTTCAAAGCTGCGTTCATTAATTCATTCACACCTTGGCGATGCTGGTGGGCTAGATAGTACGACAGCACGAGACCGGCGTCCCACACCACTGCCCCTGCATCATCCTGCACCAAAGAAGTTGCGCGACCCAGAAGGCGCCCCTGTCATCTCACAGCTCTTTAAGGACGGAAATCGACGCGCCACGCTTGGCAAAGGGCAAGGGCAAGCCAGGGTCGGCAAAAGCCTTTCGTTCCAAAGGCCCCGCACGTCCGTTCCCAAAATCATTTTGATATCTTCAAGGGCCCGGCACAGGTCCCGTTTCTCTGGCCTTCTGGTCCTCTGGGTTATGTCTTTCGAGTAGCATTGCAGCCTTTTTTCGCCTTTCCGCAGCGCGCAGAACGTATCCTCGTTGCTCCCGGTCACGGCAACAATTCTACCTTTAAGAATGTGAACTCTTTTATCCGCAACGTGCCCAAGTTGCCAAAGTCAAGCTCACGTACGGTGCAGTCGTCGACATCGTCCATGGCTTTAGCAAAGCGACACAGCAGACTCGATGGAGCTGTGTGATTTTATTATTGGGCTGTAGCTTAGAGAGACTATAGACTTCCAGAAGGAAGCCCGAGTGCCTGAGTTTCGAGACCAACCCTACAAGGCGGGAAACAGGAAACGGAAACAAACGAACAGGAAGAATACGACACTTCAACGTCGCACCCTGCCAAGTAATAATTTTATCACTTTCTGTAGCCAAGACAGAGCAACCATGGCGTCACAGGGCAGCGGCACAATGATAAGCTGCCAGAACCGGATCATCCAAAACCGAATCATCCAGCTGATCCAGCAGAAGGCAGCTGGTATTGAACCAAAGGTAAACTATACCCTTTTAGCGCGTATTGGTCGTCGCCGAGACCTTGACGGGACACGTGCTGCGCGTGCTGCGCCCTCTCCTAACGACACAATTCGCGTCGAAAGCCACCTCTCTCATACAAATCTAACATCATAATCCTGATTTCTGGCACCCCAACGGCACCACGAAAACTACAACCTTCCAACTACAGCCTTTTCCTCTTCAGCCTCCCCCACCCTCACCCTCACGTCGCGCGGGATCCCCGTTCCCTTCAACCCCTCCCCATTCCCTTCCACGCCAAGCTCACTCCACACGCCCTCACCCACTTTACACACCCCTCACCCCGTCCCGATAAATCTCCCCACATCATGCTCTCGCCAGGTCTTTGAGGAGCATGTGTACGAATTTGGTGGATGCGAGTATTTGCTGGTTTCGGGGCCAGAAGGCTCTTTACGGCTGCTGTTTGCCATGCCGCAGCTAGCAGGTCCTTTCCAACAACAGGCAGGTCGGGTGTACGGCCCGGATGAGGAGTGGAAAGGGGGAAATCACATTTGAAAAATGTAAAGAGGGGCAGGCGGATCATCATCATGTGTAACTCCTGAGTAACTCCTTATCATCATCATTATCGTCGTCAGCATCCAGCATGCCTCTTCTCCCCCCTCTCCTCATCATGCAAACCCCCCACCCCGACCGCAACCCCCCACACATATCACCACCACCACCACCATCAACGAGCGCAGGTGTTAGGGCCGCAGGTGGTGGAGGAAGTGGCGGCGGCGTTTCGAGGGATTGCCACCGCGTCAGAGCCAAGTACTCAAGAAACACACGAAAAACACGACGCCCCCCAAACCGCCCCCGCCAACCCCCAACCCGCACCCCCCGGTGGCCGTTATCACGTGGCTCTGGATATCGACTTGCCGCTGCTGGCTCGCCTGAGCGCAGCACAGCAGGACAGCTGGTCTCGGAGCCTGGCGTCATTGCGGCTGCTGATGGTGGGCCACCCGCTCAGGTCAGGTAGTACAGCCTCCGTACATACATACATACATACGTACCAACATTGGCATTTCCTTCATCGTGACTCCAGATCATTTAAACACATACATACACACGCCGTACATCCGTACACCCGTGCAGGCAGGTGTTTCGTGCCCTTGAGGCGGGTTCACTGGCGCCGGGTCCCCCCTTGGTGTGCTGCAATACCCCTGGGCAGGTGCGTGGGGGAGAGGGGGGGGAAGGGGGGGAGGTGGAGGGGAATGTATTCTGTGTATTCGACGGCTCCTCCGCCACGCCCGGGATTACCGCCGCAGGGCGTATCGCCATGATGGCGTTGTCGTGCAGTCTGTCTACTTGTCTGTCTGTCTGTCTGTCTATCCATATCCATACCCACGCCGGTTCATCCATCTGCCTGTCCACCTGTCTGTCTGTCTGCCTTCTACTGCCTGTGTCCATCTGTTCGTCCACCTGTTCGTCCATCTGTCTGTCTGTCTGTCTGTCTGTCCGCTCCTCTCTTCCCGTCTCCCCACGACTCCCCCCCCCAAGCAGGTGTTCGTCATCAAACCGGCCTCGGAGAGTGTTGCCTTGACCTTCCCGTTGAGGTTCAGTGGTCGACAAGACACGGCCATAGGGGTGGCGTTTCTGCAGGTGTACCTGTCTGTCTGTCTGTCTGTCTGTCTGTGTGTAAAATATGTGGGCGTCTTTTTGTCTTGGTGATCATTGAACTAGAGAGGCGAGAAGAGATAAGGAGGGGAGAGGAGAGGAGGGGAGGGGAGAGAGGAGAAAATTAAATGGGCCAAAGATGCAGCAACAGCAGCAGCAGAGCAAAGAAGAAGAAGAAGTAATTGTAATGACTGATTACCGAGATCGACCAGATCAGCGAAGTCGACTGTATATCTTTATTCGTCGGATAGAGCCAGGAAACGCCAAGCCATGTATGTATGTATGTAGTTCTGTATGTATGTATGTGTGTGTCTATTATGTGTGATAAGAGCCGTACCACTTACCATGTATGCATAGCTCGTGTGTTTGGCTGCGTCCGTACATCACGCGCCCCTTTCCCCCCAAGCTGCGAAGTGTGCACCTCTACCTTATCTAACCCACTCCCCTGCCGTACACCTCACCACCTCCCATCATCTCTAATAACCTTTCCCCCCATACATACATACATAGATACATACATGCATACATACATACATAGATACATGCATGCATACATACGAACCCAACGAATACATTCCGAAGTCGGATGGGGTGAATGGATTAGGGTGCCCCTCTAGCAGGGGAGAGCAGGGACTGCCCGGGAAAGGGGCCGCTGGCGAAGTTAACCACCCTGTAACAACATACATACATACATACATACATACAGTGTAATTTAAGTCATACATACATACGTACATAATGCACTTTTCAGGAGTTTGTGGAGGCTCGTCGAGGCCCCTCCCTGGGGCGAGCCCCCACCTGCAGCTATCAGCTGAAGGAGCCCCCGGGGGAGCTGGCAGGTGAGCGAGGGGGGGGTGAGGGGGGTGCGAGTGTGTGTATGCGTGTGGGATTTTACTTTCGGGCAATCGCATTCCCGCCGTTCCCGGAGCCGCGCCTCGGCCATGCGTGTGTATTTCCTTCTCCGGCCTCCTCTCTTTCCCCCCGGTTCCTACCGACACATACACATACACGCGCACACATGCACATGCACGTACACATGCACAGATACCCACACAAACAATCACACATATGCAAACGTTTTTTCGCACACAGGTTTGGATCTGTCTGGCATGGGGGTCGGGGGCCCCGGCGGCGGCGGTTGCAACGGCGGCTACCTAACCCTCACGCTGACGCGGCGCCACGTGTCTGGTCCCCAGATGGAGGCGGTGGTTTGGATCCTGGCCACGTTGCCCCACTTCGTGTCGTCGCACGTCAAGGCGACCAAGGTGGGAGAGGGGTGCGGGGGTGAGAGGGATGGGGAGGGGGGAGGGGGGGAAGCCAAGGGGGGGAAATGGTTGGGTATGGAGAGGGGGGTGGGAGGGGAGGGGAGGGGGGAGAAGCCAAGGGGTGAGAGAGTAATGGTGAAGGGAAGGGGGAGGGGGGCTTAGGGTCGTATGTGGGGGAGGGGTACACTCCTCCGGGCAGACTCCATATTTATAAGAAAAACACCATGTACAGCCTTGAACCCGAACCTACAGCATCCCCCCCCTCATCTCCCCTCCCCCCTCTCTCCCCTCCCATACACATACACACACACTCGCTTCCCGAAGGCCATGTTGCGCTCCCGGATGCGACGTCGTGTGATGTCGATGATCGAGTTGCTTGGGGCCGGAGGGGGCGGTGCGGGGCCGGCCGCCGGGCTGGTGACGTAAGACATACATACGCAAAACACGCACGCATACACGCGGCTCACCTTTCCATGACACACACATACACACAGATATACACATACATATACACACATACCCCATACGATTAAATCCGTGTGTGTGTGTGTGTTTTGTGTGAGAGAGGTTCAGAAGCTTTATGTGGTGCGAGGGGAAACGCAGATTTATAATACATTTTTTGGTAGAAGTTGATAACCTTCCGCTGATGTCGTGGGCCCGGCTTCGTGTGTGTGTGTGTATGTGTGTGTGTGTGTGTATGTGTGTATGTGTGTGTGTGTGTGTGCGTGAAAGAGGGGTTGGGTGGGGAGGGTATGTGGGAATGTGGTATCTTTGTGTGTGTTTGGGGGTTGGGAAGGGGGAAACAGGGGGGAGGGGGAGGGGGAGGACGAACCGCGAGCAAATGAAGCTAATGAAAAGGATAGACTGATGGGTAGGGGCCATGAGTGAGCCTAGCCACGCCTGCACGTGTGTGTATGTGTCCGTGTGAGTTTTAGGGTTCGCTGCTGTCCACCTTTTGAGCCAAAAAAAGCAGCCGTAGAGCGTTTAATTTAAGTACACACGACGATTCTCTCGGGCGTCGACTTAAGAGTGTGGGACTGCGGAGGCGAAGATGGAGGACGTGCGAGACTGGCGGTGTTTAGGTCGGGTTTAGCTCCCAAGGTGAATCAGTAATCTCCCTCTGTTCCTTACATGATAGTTCGCCGGTGTGTTTGTGTGTCTGTCTGTCTGTCTGTCTGTCTGTCTGCGTGTCCATCATGAAAATTACAAGTTATTACCACATTACTCACTCTTGTTGGTGCTGACGACGGCGACAACCAAAACAACATTAACAACAACAACTGCACCCAGGAACATCTTTTGCAAAAGTTATTTTAGATGTATGCGGCATCCGATCGATCCCCTCCGATGCCCGAGCCGACCAAACAGCGGCAGACAGCATTATGACATCTCTAACCCCCCACCCCCTCTCGTTTCAACCTTCTTTTGGAATAATCTTCTTGGTAAAGCTCTTAAAGCCAAAAAGGCACAGACACACATACACACACGAAGCCCCCCCCCGGGTCTAACATTATCCCCAACACTCACCTCATTGAACAAATCGCTAACAATCAAGCCGCCGCCGCCGCCGCTTCGTCCTCCCCCTCCCCCTCCCCCTCCTCTACAAAACGCCGTCACAGCTGTGTACATCACGACGGTAAAAGACCTTACCCAGCGCATCCACTCAGCGCTCACACACACACACACACAGATACAAGATGTATATATGTATGTATGTATGTATGTATGTGTGTATGTACTCTGCTTCTTCATAGGATTTTTGCCTGGCTTTGAGGACCCATCACAACCTCCTCACGCACTACCTCAACTGCCGTACACTGCACACGTCATCAGCACGTGCACCTGCGGCGGCGACGACACTGCATCACTATTACGTCATGGATTGCAACGAGGCGATAAAACAAAACAAAACAAGAACAGGACAAAGACAAAACAAAAACAAAGCAGCTCACTACCTCCCACCACCACCACCACCACCACCACCACCACCAACAATAACAGCAAACAGTTCGTGCGCAAACACGCAAAAATCATGCACATGCATTTATGTCGCAGCAAAACCACAAGCACAATTACGGCCTTAAGAGGTTCTAATCAGGCAACAACATCACTAGAAACCCTGAAACCTGCAAACGTACCGCATGCCATCCGGGCTTCTCGAGTCATGTGTCTCTTTAACGCAAGCGCAACAGGAGCCCGTCAACGACCAACGGCCAACCGTTGTCCTTTTCCGCATTGTACGGCAGCCAGCGGGAAAACAAACACAAAACAAAGCCGATGTACGGCAAAAAAACCGAAACCCAAATGTGAGATCCGATCCGTCAAAATTTAAATCCGCCAAAAAACGTAGATGTGTTTATCGGTGTATTCCCCTACCTAGTGTAAACCCTCTCCCCCCCGGGCTGCTTCCCCCCCCCCCCTGCCCTCCCCTACACGCTCGACATGCCTCCCCCTCTCACTCCCCCGGACGCCGGCGGCCCATTACCACGTGTTGCTCCCCCCCTTGAATTGGGGTGATGGTGATTCCCCCCTCCCCACCCCTCTCCTCCCCCCCCCCTCCCCCCTGAAAGCACACTACCCACAACCCTACCAAGGAAGCGGAGTAACAACCTGGCAACACCCCAGGTCTTTCCCGTACATACACATGTGGTGTGACACACCACAACGCCCGTTCGCTGCAACACCGAACCCAACTAAGCGCGCACACGCACTAAAACACACACGCCCACACGCCAGTCATATTCGCGCGCCATTTCCAGTTCCGTACAACAATTTAGTCTTCTCTCAACTCTCACGTAACCTTAAAATCCCCCGTCCCAATTTCAATACCTGAGCCGTACAACTCGTTTTTGCCGTGATGTACGGCATCCTGGAAAAAAACAGAAGCCCATATTATTACAATTATCCAATTTACCATCTCGTTTAGATTGTACTACTATTACTGTCGGTTCTCTCATTTCCGAAAACATCATTCATTACCCCCCTTGTCCGAAATCCCTTTTCCCCCCCCAATTAGTATGTATGCATGTATGTATGTATGTGCGCACATGGTTTGGTGTGTCGTGTCGCCACGTCACGCGCCGTGCGCCATCCGGACATCCAAACCGCCGCCCCCTCCATCGCCGCCTCCGCTGCAGCTTAAGCCCAAACCCAAATCAGCCACCCCCATCCCCGTCCCCGTCCCCACTCCCATCCCCACCGCCGGCTCGTCCTTTGCCGTAAATTCCTCCGTCGCATCCTCCGTCGCCACCATCATCACAGTCGTCGTCGTCGTCATCTCATGCAGCTCCTCCTCGCTCCCCCCTTCGAACCCCACCACCAGCATCTCCCCGCCCAAAGCCATCGGTGACCAAGGGTTTTCAGCCGTTAAGTCCATCCCCCTGCCGCCGTCACCGCCCCCGCCGTCAACGCCGCCCCCGTCACCGTCACCGCCGTCACCGCCGCCGCTGCCGCCGTCACCGCTGCCGTCGCTGTAAGTGGTGTTCACCAAACAGACCGGTCGTCCTTCCGCCGGAGGTTGATCCGTCGCTTCCGCCGCCTCCCGAATGGCAGCAGCCATGACCGTATCATCACCCAAGGGGGCTGTAGCAGCCGCCGCCGCCGCCTCCGTCCTACTGCTGCTGGCCGGCAGCAGTAGCACCGGCGGCACCGACTGCCCCGTACTGCCCTCAAAACCGCGGCAGCTGGCGCCGCCGCCACCGCCGTACCCAGCGGACGGGGAGTAGTAGTACGCCGCCAGCCCCGCCGTACCCGCTGCCTCCCCCGCACATCCCGCCGACATATGCCGGCGGTGGTGGGATGGCCGCCGCTGATGTGGGAGCTGAGCCAGGGCGGGAGAAGCCCCGGGCAGTAGCGCCTGCTGCTGCTGCCGCCCATGATGATGGTGCTGGGAAAGAGGAGGCGGAGGCGGGGGGGAATAATGGGGGGAAGAGTTCAAAAAGGAAAAAGACGACGGTGCGAGAAGCAGAGAGCAGGAGGGCGGCATTGACCCTATGGCGGTGGCGGCGGCGGCGGCAGCGGGGCCTATGCGGGCGGCGGCGGCGGCGGCGGCGGCAACCGCAGGCCCTTCCGCTCCTGCTCCTGAATGCGACGGGAAGGGGGTCCTAATGGTGGAGTGTTGCAGCCTCTGGAAGAACACGTCCGGGGAGGGTGGGGCCCCAGCGGCGGCGGTAACGGCGGCGGCGGCGGCGGCAGTAGTAGCCTCGACCATTGATACCATACTAGCGGAATGTCCCAACGGCGTCTCCAGCACCGGCGGCGGCGCGTCCAGCAACTTCGGCGGCTCGCCAAACAGCAGCAGTGGTGACGCCAGCGGCGGCGGCAGCGGCTGTCGCCAACCCGGTTCTCCACTCGCCACCGACAAAGTTGGCTCCGAATCTAAACCTAACGCAGCGTCAGCAGAGAGCAGCCCCGGAGGCGATACGGCTGGGGGCGCTGTTACGTACTGCAATGTCGTACTACCGCCACCGCTGCCGCGGCTGCGGGGTGCTGTCACGGCGGTGGCGGTGGCAGCTGAACCCTGACCACAGGCGCGCGCCGTAATCGCCGGCGGCGGCAACGCCGCGGCCGCCGCCGCCGCCGCCATTCGACCTTTAACTCCTGCCGCTGGTGCCCCCACAGAAACAGGCCCGCCACTGACGTCATCGTCGCCGCCACCGCCATCCGGCCCAGGGCCGGTGGCCACCATGGTGATGGCGGCGGCGGCGGCGGCGGTGGCGGCGGTCACGCCTAACCCCTGCAGATTCAAAAGCAGCGCGGCCTGCTCCGCCGCCGCCGCCGCCAGCTTTCCCCTCACATCTGCAGCCATGCGATGCGCTCTCAGCGCCGCCGCCAGCAGCTCCCGCCGTGCCGCCGCCGCCGCCGCTACCTGCTGCCGTACCACCTCCGCCGCGGCGTTCTCCGCCGCGACTTGCAGCTCCAGTTCCCGGATAGCCTCCAGCTTCCGCATTCGCGACCGATGCGCCGACTGACGATTGGCGATGATGCGTTTGGCACGTTTTGGATCCAGCAAAGCCGGGTCGAGTGCATTGGTACGCGTCTGTCCCGCGAATTCGATAAAGGGCTTCTCCGCGGAGGACTGTACGGCACTGGGCAGGCACATCTGTGTTTTGCAGGCGGCCGGGCCGGGCCGGGCCGGGCCGGGGCGGGGTGGGCGGAAAGGAGAAATTCAATATTGATGTGATGCAGGAATGAGGGCAAACGGTTGTTTTTGCATCTGCCGACACCCGGGGGGAGAGGGAGGGGGGGTTGGGGGAGGGGACGGCGGAGCGGAGTGTGTATGTGTGTGTATGTTTGTGTGGGGGGGTTGGGGGTGTACGCGTGTGACGGCGGGTGGGCCGAGTGTTGGTGGTTCCTGTGGTAGTGGTGAGGATGATGATGATGATGATGATGATGATGATGATGAGAGAAAAGAGAGAGTAGCCTGGCAAAGACAAAGCGCCGGACCCCCGTTGGGTCCTATTAGTGTGGCTACCATTCACTGGTATATGAGTGTTGGTCATTTCCAACAAGTAGTCTGGCAGAGACACCCCCTCTCTAGGTTGTGGTTTGGGGCGTGCGTGGATATCAAGGGAGGGAAGGGGACGGGGAGGGGGAGGGGGGGTTGGGGGAGGGGGGATTGAGCTCAGATCCTTACCATCAGGGGGTCGCTGGGGCTGCGGACGTGGCGAGGGCCCGGGACCGAAGCAGCAGCTGCAGCACCCGGCGGCGGCGGCGGCGGCGGCGGCGGCGCTACTGCCGCCGTCCCTGTTGAGAAGCTGTTGGTGTTGAGCCCCCGCTGTTCCCTCCCGCCGCCGCTGCCGCCGCCGCCGCTGCCGTTAGGTCCATGCGGCAGCATGCTCGATGCAGTCGACGTCTGCTGTTGCTGCTGCTGCTGCTGTTGCAGCAATGGTGCAGTTGTAACTGCAGGTCGCAACGATGTTGGTGGTGGTATTGTCGGATGGGGGGGTGCTGCCGGGGCTGGGGATGTTAGCAGGCCGAGGTTGAGGGTGGGGCCCAGAGCATCGCGCGTGTAGGCGCCAGCGACGGGAGCGGTAATGCCTCCTTGACATCCCACCGCCTCATTTGTGGCGGGTAGCATAACACCATGTCCCTCGTCCGTCTCGCCTTCCACATCAAGGTCCTCCAGCAAACCCGCGTCAATGTCTAGGCCACCTTCGTCCAAATCCCTCAACATTTCCAGGAGGTCTGCCGGGCCAAGTTCCGGACCTAGGTTGTTGCCACCAGGAGGGTTTGGTGTTTCGCCGATTGTGGTTGGCTGATTGGCATTTTGGCCAGCCAAGGGGCCAACCGCAAGGGGTTGCGGCATCGACGAGGGAAGGTCATCAAGCAACGCGCTTGCCGCGAATGCAAACGTATCACTTGCACACTTCCGGTGACGAAAGCGCCGGCGGCCGCTGCTAACAGCGTCGTTCAGAAACGGCTCTCCTAGCATGAGGGTTCAGACAATCTTCGCGCGGTGCACCAATTATAAAAAATCTTCCTTCTCCTTCAAAATTAAGCTAGTTTCCAGACACCGAGTCTCCATTACGTCGAGACGAAAAGAGTTCTACATACCAAAGAAGCGTGGAAGCTTTCACTCCATACCGCAACCTTACTGTGACCTTTGTAAGCTCAACAATATGTATGCTTCCTCACTATTTGTCAGCTTGCTGTTCTGTGTATGTGACAAGTCCGTCGGAGGGGGTTTTCCGCTCCGATGCCCGACAGTTAAGGAAGGTGGATGTAAGTAAAATTTGCAATTTGTGCCAGCTAATAGATTCCCAGGCCTACTCATCCACAGGAAGAATGGCCAGTCCGCTCTTAAAGTCCATGCTGGCCTTCTTTCTCCTCATTTCCGGGACCCGAGCAGCGAGGTTCGTTACGCGCGCAGTTGAGAAGGCCGAGACACCAAAACGCAGCAACTTGACCCCAGACGCCGCAGCAGACAAAATCCTGTCTTTGCCTGGATTTCAGAACGCTCTCCCATCAAACCATTTTGGTGAGCTCCGCTGCGCGCGCAGTATTCTGTTTTCTGTGGCCCTTAACCAGCCGGCTGGCCACGCATTTTCGCAACCAAATACATTATAACCCGCTTTCCTCACAAAGGTCTTACAATGCGCGTTGATCTGCACGACAAGGGCCGACGGCCTGCAACTACCGTTGGCCTCGTGGCACGCTTTCCTCCAGACAGACCAGCACAGCTACCTTCGTTCTTTTCTAGCAACCTCTTCAAATTGCCGCTCTCCAATTGCCCTCCTCTATGATCTCAACATGCGCGTGGCTGCCACGACGGACTGCCCTGTTCAGATATTATAGTAAAATAAACATCCGGAATTCCTGTGCAGGCAAATCCGGGCTCTGTCCCAGGTTCCTTCCGCGGACGCGCCAACAACATATGTTGCGCCTCTTTTCTTGTCTTGTCGCCCGTGCACATTCCCCCGGACTTCCCACTCCTCACCCGGCCTCACGCCCTTTCATCCAATTCCCCCTCTATCTCAAACCCACCTCACTCAAATACTTTTACATCCCCCTTCCCCCCGGACGTTTCCCCCCAAAACATATTCCCTGCTGCTGCCCAAATCCACCCTTTCAAAAAAAACTCCTCTCCCCTTCCTCTGCCCAAACCCTAATTCCCGCCTCCAATCTCCCCCGACGCAAAACCCACCATCTGCCACTCTTAACCCCTCTCCTCCCCCCGTATTATGTTAATTTAAACATTCTACCCTCCCCCCTCCCCACAACTCCGCCACTGGTCAGTTCTGCTTCGCTTTCCTTGGCAGCAGCTTCACTCGTTCTTGGTTCGTCTTTCCCCCCTCCCCTCCCCTCTCCTCCCCACACAACCCCTCTCCCAGCTGGTTATGTTCAGGTGGACGAGCAACGAGGTCGCCGCCTCTTTTATTACTTCGTTGAGAGCGAGCGCGACCCCGCCAACGACCCGGTGGTAAGCAGCCCTTCTTCGAGGATGAAGAAGATGAACCACTGACGATTGAAGCAGATGCCCCGGGGTTACACTCCGTTGGGGGGGGAAGGGGAGAGCGACTGACAGACTGACAGACAGATGGACCGATTGACTGAATGGGACGGAAGGGATGGAAGAGAGGGATGGAAGGTGCATCTGAAATGATTCAAATAAATTGGAAGATTAGATGAGATGTGGGTGTTTAATGTTGTATGAATATGGTTGATTGATATCGCAATAAGGGTGTGTTCACATGTAGTCCAATTGAGAGTCTGATTGGGAGTCCGATTCGGGGCGGCTTTCTGAATTGTGTTCACATACGATTCGCTGCACCGCGCGAGGTGCCACCGCGCCCAGCTGAAGCTCCGCGGCTACGCCCCATCACCCAAGGCAAGCCAGCATTATCTAGGAACAGAACAGTATAAGTATCGTTTCTATGGCGAAAATTATCACCAGGCTTGTACATACATAGCTGCAGGAGTTCGTGAAAAATGCTCGGTGCGCTTTGCGTGAATTAACAATTGGAAAATGTTCCTATAGTATTGTAATGGTAATTATGAGAAACGGTTTGTTAAACAACTTTGTTTTGAGAAAGAAAACTGTGAATCACGTCGAATCATACCCGAAGAGGCCCCCCCGGACCCCAATTCCGATTCGGGTCCAATCAGGTCCAATTCAGAGTCCAATTCGCATGAATCAACCCTGATTCGCCCACATGTGAACACGTCCTAAGCAGTTAAGGGAGAGGAGCTCCTGAATTATCATTCGTTTGGGGAGCTAATGAATAATATTAGTAATGGCATAATAATAATAATAATAATATAATAATAATAATAGTAATAATAATAATAGTAATAATTAGGATTAATCATAATATTATTATAGTTATAATATTAATACTAATAAAGCGGGGCTGTATGTGTGTATGGGATAATCGAGTTCATCAGTCAGCAAACGACCTCATGTTGATGATTTACGGCCCTTCTTCCTGCTGCTACTGCTGCTGTGGCTGACTGCTACTGCTGCTACTGCCCACGACGGACTTGACGCCTGAAGGTCCTCTGGCTGAATGGCGGCCCCGGCTGCAGCTCCTTTGACGGCTTCGTGTACGAACACGGCCCCTTCACCTTCAACCTCGCCGTACCCGGGCCCTCCACAACCGCTACTGCCACTTCCGATGACGCGGGGGGTGTTGCGGGGGGGCTGCATGTGGAGCTCCGGAGTAACCCCTTCGCCTGGAACAAGGTGTGTTTGCTAGGGGGGGGGGAGGGGGGAGGAGGGAGGGGGAGAAGAAGGGTGTGTTTTTGGGAGGGGAAGGAGAAGAATGTTTAGCTGGGTCCGAAGGAGCTGGGTCATGCGAGCATGCCGCTCCCTCTCATTTCAATATCTTCCCTTCTTCTTCCCTTCTTCTTCCCCTCTTTTTTTCCCCTCCTCTTCCCCTCCTCTTCCCCTCCTCTTCTTTTCCCCCCCGGAGTACAGTAGTCTATCTCTGATATCCGCATCACTCCTCGGTGTGTTTCGTATTCCCCTCACCGCCGTACAGGTGGCCAATATGATCTTCCTGGACTCACCCGCAGGTGTGTGTGTGCGCGTGCGCGTGTGTGTCTATCTTTCTATCTGTCTATCTGTCTGTTTGTCTGTCTGTCTGTCTGTCTGTCTGTGTACACTCCGTGTTTTTTGTGAATGTCTCGTTTCCGTAAACCCTGCTCTCCCCTCCCCTTGCCCCTGCGCTGGGTAGGTGTGGGCCTGTCGTACAGTGAGAATGCGGCGGACTATGTGGTTGACGACGTCCGTACGGCAGCTGACGCGGACCGCTTTTTGCGTGGTTGGTTTCGGAGGTTCCCGCAGTATCTGGACAACGACTTCTATGTCAGCGGTACGTTGGGTTTTGCTGTGGGGTTGTTGGAATCTAGATCTCCCACCTCCCCTCCCCCTCTTGCTACAACTGCAGCCTCGTCCTCTTTCCATTCCCGTGCTTGATATAATGTATACATAATACATGTACTTTATATATATGTATATATATGTACATATATATACATACATATATACATGTATAAAGTAATGTATTATGTATATATATACATATATACACGTATACACATATATTATGTATAAATGTATATATATTGTGTTTTATGTGCTGCTCCCACATACACACCCCATCCCTCCATATTTCCCCGCCCGCCCCGGCCGGCCCGCACACTTCCCCCCTCCTCCAGTATTCCTGAATTGAAATGACCTCTTCCCTTCCTATCCCTCCCCTTCCCTCCCATCCCTACTATCTTGCTCTGGCAGCAGCTTAAATCGCGTGTGGTTCGTCTTTCCCCTTCCCTCCCACTGGCATCAGCTTCACTCGCTCGTGGTTCGTCTTTTCCCCTCCCTCCCCCTCCTCTGGAGCCTTTTGGGGTCCCCCGCTTGGCTCGTTTTGCTTTTTGACTCGTGTTTTTTGACTCCTGTGAATATATGTTTTGCTTTATAAAAGTTTTTGCCATATATACTGTTAATGTTACATATAATATTATAATATAATGTTACAATAAATATATTTATCCTGATATAAATATAAATATGTCTTATATAAATATATAATACATAATTTTTTTATTTTTGCCTCGTAGTTATTTCCACATCCCGTGCCCCCCCTTCCCCCGCCCCCCTCTAAGGTGAGAGCTATGCGGGTATCTACGTGCCTAATCTGGTCCGTCAAGTACTGTTGGGCAATGAGGCGGGAGAGGAACCGAACATAAATATTGTGGTGAGTGGGGGTGATGGACGGTCATTAACGAAAAAACCACAACTACCAACGAACAACGAATATAAAACACAACCCTAACTTATGCAACCAGCTCTCGCTGAAGAAGAGATCAAAACATAATGAGGGGACTCCTACCTGTCTTAAGAAAATTCCGATATTAAATAATTTATGCTAACTTTTTTTATTTTTTATTCGTTTGTGATGTGGCCCAGGGCTACTTGGTTGGTAACGGCTGTACGGATGAGCGTTACGACGGTAACGCCCACCCGCTGTTTGCCGCGGGCAAGTCGCTCCTTCCTTGGCGGGGTTTCCGCGAGCTCGAGTCCGAGTGCGGCGGGGGCGAGTACTGGAACCGTACACACGGTACGAACAAGGGTTTGTGTATGTATGTATGTATGTATGTATGTATGTATGTATGTATGTATGTACGGACGTGGAATAAGGGAGGGCGGTGCGGAAGCGTTAGGATGGAACAAAAACAGACCGAAACATGACCTGGTTAGGTTTTAGAGTTTTAGAGGTTTTAGAGTTTTCAGAAAGCTTCGATGGAAAAGCCAGCTCGGAACATGACCTCGTTGTTGCAGCCACTGTTTAGCTAAACACTCTTGCGATTTATGAAAATAAAGAAATATAGTTTATCCGCCAGAGGGCCAAGGTCAGATACCCCCTAGTAGACACAGATACCTCCCCCTCTTTGGCGTCGTACAAGTGCGGTACATTTCCCCGGGTGTTGGGGGTGGAGCGACGGGACCTCATACACATACACACACGCACGGGGGGTTAAGAACAGGGTTCACGCTCCGGTCATGTCGGGGCTCGGTTTGGGGTTTGGTTTCGTTGCCCCAACTGCTAACTGTCAACTGCCAACTGGTACGTGACGCGCCCAACCCACCTCAGGCAGCACCTGTGACAAGCTGTGGAACAAGCTGGAGGCCAACCTGGCGGCGCTGAATGTGTACGACACTTTGCAGGACTGCTTCCATGACGGCGTCGTCGATGACCGGGCCGCCCGCGGCGCCGCCCTCCGCGCGGCCGCCCTTGCCCGTCAGGACCGCGCCGCCGCCGCCGCCGCCGCCGCGGCTAGGCCCCAACACACTAGGCACCGGCAGCTAAGCGCTGACGGCGTTGGCAGTTTTGTGGGAGGCCGTTTTCGAATTTCGGAGCAGCTTTTGGACGAGGCTGGTCTGCTGGGTGTGTGGCCGCTGGCTGGCGGAGTTGTACGGCCGGGTCCCGTACTGAACTGGGCCCACGTCAGCGCCAAGCTGGGTGTACGACTGGGCATCACACCGCCATGTACGGACTCCAGGTGAGGCCGTGAGGGGGTGGACAGAAGCTTCTTGGGTTTCTTGTACGGCGGCGGGTGTACGGCGGGGCAGCGGGTTGTGTCAGAGTTTCGGGGTGTAAGTTGAGGTACAGGGGAGTACGGTGTACGGATGTACGGACAAGGCTGGCCGTACTTGGTCGGACCGAACAGCTTTAGCTGCGAGTATTTGGGAGGAGGAGGAGGAGGAGGAGGAGGAAGCGGATGGTTTTGAGAACTGTTTTGGAATGTTTCGCTGGTGGCGGCGGTTTGGATGGGTTGAACGTTTTGTCGTTGTTGTCTGTTTATGGCGGTGTTGGTGATGGTGGTGGGTGTGGTGGTGTGGTGGACTGGCCCCGCCATCACCTCACCAACGGCGCCGCCGCCGCCGCCGCCGCCGCCACATCAGCAACGCTACTGCCGCCGCCGCCGCCTACGTTGCGTGCAGGCTGTGCGACCCAGGCACTGCCCGGCAGCAGCAGGTGAAGAAACCACCCACTCTGTCTCACACGCCCATCTGTACGGACTCCAGGTGTGCCGGGCTGCCGTACAGTACCGTACAGTGCCGTACACGTCAGTGCCCGGCCCCCACCCCATCAACAAAGAAATCGCCCTATTAAAGCACAGAAAACGCGGAAAACTTCAACCCCATCATCGGAACTGCTGGCGGGTCTTGTTTTGGAAGGGAGTTCTTGCCTGGTTTAAAACAACTAGGGCTCTTGGGCTATAGCTGCTGCGCGACTGCTCGAATATACCTTAAGTAACAATTTGATAAAAAAAACTTTATGAATTTTTGTAGGAATGATGTTTCTTTTATCGGTTGAAGCCTCCGGTTATCTCGCCTCTTTCCTACCCCCTTCGCTACCTATCGCATCGCGCCCGTATTTGTGACTTTTACATCTGTCCATAGCATATATTCCTCTGTACTTTTTTAAATTCCGTAATCTCTGCATTTATTCACGTACCCTTGTTTCTCTTTTTTTTCATGTGTGCGATTTGCTTGTTGTGATTTGCTTGAATTTGAATTTGAAAATTTGAATTCAGGGCCGCGGATTTATGGTTGAACGATCCGCGGGTGCGCGAGGCCATTCACGCCGAGTCCAGGGAGGCCATCGGGTACTGGACCTTGTGTTCCGACAAGATTTCCTACTTCCGAGACCACGGATCCATGATTCCGATTCACATCAACAACACCAAGATGCATGGTACGGACATGCTAGAATACTTGGACGAACGTTTATAGAGTTTATAGAGTGGGTTGTTCGGTAAATGAAGTGGGACGAGTCACGCGAGACTTCCGTTGGGAGTTTGGCAGTTGTTCGTTATTTTTTAACATGTCCTCGTCATCGACTTCCCCATCCCCTCCTGGTTTCCTTGCATGTGATCATTCCCCAAACCCCTTTTTTAACCACCCCCAACCGCTTTAACCACCTTGGCGATTTTCCAGGCCTTCGCGCCCTGATCTACAGCGGGGATCACGACATGGCTGTGCCCCACACGGGCAGTGAGGCGTGGACAGGGGATCTGGGTTTCCCCGTGAAGACGCCCTGGCAGCCTTGGTTCGTGGCGGATGAACAGGTGTGCGTGTGTGGAATGTTTGTGAACGAAAGCTGTGTCACCGTGTGGTATGTAGGTGTGTGTGTGTAATATGGGTGTGTGTTGCTCGCCTCTGTCCGGACCTCTGTTCGCCCCGGGGGGGATGTGTTGAGGTGGTTGCGAAAGGGTTTTTTTCCTTCGTCATGCATATGAAAAAGATGTATAA